GACTCTCGGATTCTCTGCATGAAAAGTCAAGGGTCTGGTGTGGTTTACATTTCATACATCTGCCTTCCCTCGAAAACTACTATTTATTCCCAATAATTCCTATTGCTTGAAAATTACATTATTATCATATATGAATATCATAATATGAAAAATGAACAGTCATATTGTAGAGAACACAATTTTAGCATTTTATAACAACACATTTTGCTGCGTGTAATTATTTGGAAACCTGAGGATATCTGGGGAAGGTTTGTTAAAGAGTTCTAGCTTTCTACAATTCTTACATAATGTCTGCACTGGACGTGATCAATTTGATTTCAAAATATTTATTTTATATATATTTTATTTAAATAATTACATTTGATTTAAATTGCTTAAATTATAAAACAATTATTAAAATATTTAAAAGAATAATATCATGTTATATATACACATTGTAATATTTATTCAATATATTAATTTATATAATGACTTGTATAAATACTATCGATAATGTGTACAATTTCTTTATATAATATATATATATATATATATATATATATATAATAAAACATAAAATACATCAATATTTATTTTAATATTTAATATATTAAATAACTGTTATTATTAATATTATCATAACTATTATTAGAATGCATAAAATACATACATTTTAATTATATACATTGTATTTGTATTTATTTAATATATTATTTATACAATTACTCGTAGAATATTGATAATTTATACAATTATTTATTTAGAATTTAAATAATTAAACTAATAATCTTAATTATTTAAATTAGACAAATATCATTAAAACTTGTATTTAAATACATTCAAAAATATTTATATTTATTATATTATTTACATAATTATTTGCATAATGTTGATCATTTATAGGTATTTATAATTTACATCATTAAATTTATATTTTTAATTATTAAAATTAGAAAAATATAATTAAAAATTACAAAAAATGAAATCAATAAAAAAAAAACTAAAAAACAAGTTCATCAGCTGAAGGTGTGCCAAATTGGCTATTTCCAGTGTAGACACGGCTGAACACCCACTGCAGGGCTGCAGTGTAACATTTTGCTGTATTTACCACACGGATTATCCAGGCGGCCGTGCTGTGGGGCTGCCGGCTCTTTGGCCCGTCCCAGCCCTCAGTCGGGTCAAGGGACCATGAGAGGGAGCTCGGTCTGTGGAAGGCGCTCCATGCTCCCTGAAGATGGGTGGGTTAGAGAGAGAGAGGAGGAGATGTGGGCGAGAACATGCAACAACTTAAACAGTACAGCCAGCAAAGAAACATACAGATACATGCATGCACAACACAGACATGGCTAACAGAGAACATGACACATTAGAGCTGTGAATGAACTCAAAAAATGACATCTGAGACAAAGCGCTTCCTGAAAATATACATCTGATTATATTGCTCTTAAACATGCAAACAAAAATGTTCCTTTTACTGTATTCTGTATAACATAACTGTTTCTAGGGCAAAAAGAGATGTTTTCTGTCAGTCTAAATAATGGGAAAGACTGCATGCGCAAATGATGGAAAAAACTGAACAGAATCATCCGCTCGAGGAAGATGAGGCGTGTTTTAAAATGTCATCAGTGCCTTAAGAGACGATATTTAAAGGTCAAGTGTGTAGTTTATGCAGCAAACAGAATAGATTTTATTTTAATAATGATTGTGTCCGAACAGGTTTAAAGGCTTCAAAAGTTTGGGGTCAGTAAGATTTATGCATTTTTTTTAAAAAAAGAAGACTCCTATGCTCACCAGGGCTGTAAAAATACAGTAAAAATATAGGAATATTGCCTTTGTTGTATTGTGTTGCATTGTTTATATATTTTGTTACAAAAATCTTAAAATAAAATAAAACCGTAATATTGCAAAATATTTGCACAATTTAAAATAACTTCTCTATTTGAATATATTTTAAAATGTAATTTATCCATCAGAAATAATTCTAATATGCTGATTAGCTGCTCAAAAACATCTCTTATTATTACTAATATTGAAAACAGTTGTGCTGCTTAAAACTTTTGTAAAAACAAACAAACAAAAAAACACGGATTTCAGGATTCAAAGATGAACAAAGTTCAAAACAACAGCATTCATTTGAAATAAATATTTTTTGAACTTTATAAATGTCTTTACTGTCACTTTTCCCCTTCTCAATTTAATAAATGTGTAATGAATAAAAGTATTGATTTCTTTAAAAACTCTAGTTTGTTACTTTCCTTATTTGTTTTATTGCTTGTAATTCTTGTATTTTCTTTATTACTGATTTTACTTGTATTAATTATTCTTAAATTTACATAATTTAATCCTAATTGAATTACTCTTGACTCATTGCAAAATTAATTATATTTAGTAGTATTTAATTCATATAATAAGAATATTATTTAATATATTTCTTAATTATTTAAAAAAAGGAGTTTTTTTTAGCATATTCATTTTCTTTCTTTAGAAAAAATGACATTTCTATTTGGTTTTGGTATCGTGACCGCACTAGTGAGTTGTATTTTGCATTAAACATGGGAATAAATTTTTGATTCTGCAATTCGTTTCAATTTTCCTTTTTACTCTCGTTGTGAACAGGCCTTCACCGCAGTAGAGAGGATGGTCATACTTCAGTTTGGGGACCAATTCTCACTATTAACTAATTATTAAATACGCCTTTTGCCTCAAACTGTTAATTTAGGTTAGTAAGGTAGTTGTTAAGTTTAGGTATTGGGTGGATTAAGGGATCTGAAATATGGTCATGCAGAAAAAGACATTAATATGTGCTTTATATGTACTAATAAACAGTCAATATGCTAGTTATATGCATGATAATAAGCAGTTAGTTAATAGTGAGAATTGGTCTCTAAGTGTTACTGAGAGCCCTGGCATCTGAATGCTTGTGCTACATTTGTTGCTATGACAACAGGAACACTCGCAGTCTTGTTTACAAACACCTGCGATTATGTCAGCATGACATCACATGACTCCAGCAAAAGAGCAGGCCTCTTACAGCCGCCTAATTCCTCGAATTAATCCGTTTGTGGCTATAAAGGTATTTAATACTTAGCGATCATCCGGAAATCACGATGATGGCTGTGAATTAAGACTTGCTCAATTAAAACATAAAGCTGCCTGAAGTTAAATTAACATCAGTTTTTAACCAAATATGCAAATGCATGTACTCATGCATGCGCTCTTTGGGGGGTAATTTCTTTTCTTTCTTTCTGTATTCATTCATTTATTTATTTTTTACCCTTTTTAACAAGAAAGACATTGTAGTCATTAGATATTCATTTGGTTCTGTTTAAAGCTCACTTGAATTTTAAACTTCATTAGTTCTAGATCATTAGACATGACGTTATTTTTCCCCGGATGCTGGTCTGAATAAAACTGTCTGTGCAGACTGGACAGCAAGGCAGATGCCTTCGGACACAGCCTTTATGAATTAGAGGTTGTTTGGTTAACAGGAAAACACAATCAGAAACAGGATGTGATGCATGAATGATGATCTGATGGCTGAGTATGACATGTATGTGAGATGTCTAATGCTGAAATAATCCCCTTTGAATTCAATTTATCAAATGTGTTGTCTATAATAAAGCTTCTGACGCATGGAAGGTTGTTCCTGCACAAAATCAAACTTTTACATTCACAAAATCACAAATATTTAGCCTATCCATATAGAGAGCATGTCTGAGACATGCGGTGTTTAGACTGAAACATATGGAAAACATTTTCTGCCAAAAAATAAAACTGCTACATTCTATTTAAAAAATGCAATTACCTATAACGAGAAATAGTCACAATTACAAGAAATAAATGTGCAATTGTGAAACAAAGTCACTACTACATGAAATAATGCCGCAATTGTGGGATATAAAGTCACACTTACAAGAAATAAAGTCGCAATAGTGGTATATATGGTCACAATTACAGGAAAAAAATTCACAATTGTGACATACAATGTCATATTGAGATAAAGTCGCAATTATGACTAATTCATGTTGCAATTAATATTGCAATTACTAGAATTATCTTTTTTTGTGTGTTTTACCAGAAATAAAGTCGCAATTGTGAGATATATGGTAAAAATTACAGGATTTTTTTTTTTGCAATTGTGACATACAATGTCATATTGAGATAAAGTCGCAATTATGACTAATTAATGTTGCAATTAATATTGCAATTACTAGAATTATCTTTTTTTGTGTGTTTTACCAGAAATAAAGTCGCAATTGTGAGATATATGGTAAAAATTACAGGATTTTTTTTTTTGCAATTGTGACATACAAGTCAATTATAAGCAATAAAGTCACAATTGTGTTAAAGGCTGCCTGCATGATCACAATTACAGGGGGAAAAAATTGCACTTGTGAAATGCAATGTCATTCTGGGATATAAAGTTGCAATTATGAGAAATAACATTAACGCAATTACAAGAAATAATGTAATTATGACAAACAAGGTCACAATTTTAATAAATACAATTGCAATTGTGAAATATAAGGTCACAATTACAAGGGGGGGGGGAAATCCCATTTATGAGGTACAATGTCATATTAAGATATAAAGTCACAATTGCGATAAATAGCGTTGCAGTTGTGCAATATAATGCTGTAACTACAAGAAATAAAGTAAAAATGTTGAGATATATAGCCACAGGGGAAAAAAGCATTTGTGAGATACAATGTCAAATTGAGATTTAAAGTTCCAATTACGATAAATAAAGTTGCAACTGTGAGATATGAAGTCAAATTATGAGATATTAACTACTAACTACAGTCAAAATGACAAGAAATAAAGTCAAAATTGTGATTTTTATTTTCTTTTGAGATCACAAATAACGGAATAAAACTAAGATGGATACGCCAAAATGACCAAAAATTTAATTGTCTGAACAAAGCCTTATGTCTATTAATTAACCTAAAAAATAAACAGGAATCTGCAGATGACGGATTAAGTAAACCACCACACAACTGATCATAAAGTATATGACTGACCTGCTTGACTCTGGGTCTTCCAGGTGAAAATTTCCTCTTAGAGATAGCCGGCTTTCCCATGCCGATTTTTGGGGTGAATGGTATGAAGGTGGATGAAGGCACATTGCTGATGGCTTGTCCTGAGACTGCCTGGAGCTGGAGCTGGAGCTGGGATGCCCCAAGCCCATGTGAGGGCAAACCCTCAGGCTGCCTGCATGGAGGCTGCTGTAATGACGTCCTCTCCTCCACCAGTGAACTCAGCTTGGCCAAAAATCGCTCATCACCATCCATAGTGATGTCCATTTCCTGCATGCGGCTCTCTGGAATAATGCTGCACTGCTGCACCATAACATCCATTTCCTCCTGGCTCTGAACTCCTGGCGTAGTCTTAGCAGTACTAACCTCAGGCTCTACAGTAACTCCATGAGCCATTGTGGAAGGTTCCTCCGTAAAGGAAACCTCCATGGGTTCTTCCTCATGGGAGGTACAGGCTGGAGTTGGCTCTTTGGTGGGTGATAGGTCTGTTTTCTGCTCCTCCAGGCAGGGCTTGCTGTCATCCTCATTTTGGGAGATGTTTTCCGTGAGTGTAGATGACGTCTCTGGAGGCTCCTCTGTTTCAAAGAATGACACAAGCTGCTGTACTGTGGATGTCTCTGGAGCTGAAACCAGCTTCTGCTCATGCGGCTCTGAATCTTCAGGACCTTTTGTCTCCTGAGGAGATGTAACTGCAAACGCAAGAAGCAGAAGAACATTCAAAATGACTTTCCAAGGATTTACAAAAAAAAAAAAAAACACAGGGATTTTCCATTGTATGTCAGAGGGTAAAAATAGCCCATAATGTTATTATCATAAAAAATACTGAATATATTGATATGATTTCATGAAGTAGTAAATTATTCTAGCCACTTGGGCTAATTTTACTACTGCTTAAATAGGATTGAAGAAATACTTTTGGGAAGCTGAAATATTACACTACATCCAAAACTATTTTCAATAGAATTCTAATTCTATCATAAATTCTAATGAATGCAACTTTAATGAGCTCATATTGATTGAGAGTTAACTGATTATTTGTACCTTTTAAAAATAATTTTACACACTATAATACCATTTTAAATGGACTTGTATAGGTAACATGGTAAATAAAAATGGTGAAAAAGAAATGTTGATCTTATACATTCATATTTCAACCAAAAATCTTGATGACGAATAACTTGGCTAATCAGATTCAACAAAATTTATTTTGTTGGCATGTAAAAGCACATTGGACTATATAGCATTATATAAAATGTTGTATATTTAAATACATGCAACAACAATTAAATCACCTTAATGTACATTGAATTAAATGTACATTTATTCATTTAGGAGATGCATTTATCCAAAAGTGAATGCCAAAAGAGGAAAAACAGAAGCAATATATCATACAGGAGCCAATTTCAATTACAATTTCTTTATTGTTCTTCGAAATCTTTATCAGAAATATATATATACAGTTCTATATTGATATCTCTATCAATTGTATATATGCACATATATATATATATATATATAGAGAGAGAGAGAGAGAGAGAGAGAGACATATGTACATACACCACTATGTAACATGCAAATGTATAAAAGCGAGTCCTGTCCATTTGAATTCTCTTGGTGAAAATCCTCATGTCCTAATTATGTTAAATTATAGAAATAAAATGGGATGTGAATGCTGTTTCACGCTGACTTCATTTTTCAAGATCTATGGTTATGGACTAGTTAACTGCTTGTCTTCATCTGTTGTTGTGAAATGGTCATCAAACTGTCAGGGAAAAATGTCATTTTTTTCAACAAATTTATTCTAAACCACCTTTTTTGAACGTCCTTTAAAACGGACATACCCAAGAATTGTGGTTATGGTTTTAAGATACCAGCATCTTAGATAACATTAAACGTGTATGTGGTGTCACTGAAGGCAAAGAGAGTAGATGAAGTACCTGAAGTCTGCTCAGTTTCCTCGCTGTGGTCTGAGGTCTCGCTGCACTCTGGCTTGGCTAAATCACCTCTAGCGTCTGCCACAATTTCTAGAGGAGGGGGGGAAAGTCAGTAGACAGTTCTGACTTGTGTTACGTAATCCAAACTGCTCCAAGCATTAGTGGAAATAATTACAGCATTGGAAAAACAACACATCAGGGTAGAAAAGTGCAAGTGTGAACGCAGGCGCATATGGCAGGTGTGTTGTTCAGAAAACATTGTGCTCAAGAGAATACAATGGCTTTGAGCAGTACTGAAAAAGTAGGGCTGCACAATAAAGCGAAATCTCGATTCGACAGAAGCTGCGATTGTCATGCGTATCTTTCAGTGACGCACGGTTCTGTGATCAGCAGTAAATCTCCATCCAAAGGCCAGAGGGCGCTCTCGCGCTGAAACTCCAAATACACCTCGCAGAAGAAACCCAGAAAATGGCTATCGCTGCAGCTGAATAAACAGAAGATTCAACTGCTTTCATTGATTCAACGTGACTAATAAACACACGACTACGACAAAATACGGTTTATCGGAGTTCTTATTATAATTTTCATTAAAATAAAGTATATTTAAAATGCAATGCCTTTATCACTGATTAGAATAATATGAAATATGTTGCGTGCCTTATTCTGTGTAAGAAGCCACATCATCTCACAGAAGGATTTATTTCAAACACTCGACTGACGTTATGAAATGAGTTTGGAGTAAAAACGTGTTATTAAATGTGGTATTTTCACATGCTTTCAGATGGAGCAGCATTTACTTCACAGAGCCGTAGTTCACTGAGAAGCTATGCAAACAGCTGTCATTATCGCTAACGATTTCTTTGATTTCATAAGTGATTTTTTTGCGTAACTTGTCAGTGAACTACGGCTCTGTGTAGTAAATGCTGCTCCATCTGAAAGCACGTGATGATGATTTCCTGCTGATTACAGAACCGGCTTTACTAACAAAATGCGCACAACAATCGCATTCGATTAATCGTGCAGCCCTAACTGAAAGTAATCTCGATTTATCCAGTGTTGTCTTATATACACACTGTACGCTCCGACTACACTCTTAACATGCTTTATTGTCCTCTTACTGTCTATAATGTCGCTCTCTTCTGTTCAATGTATGCCTGGAACAACAAATTTCCATCTCAAGCACTTTAATCCATTGATTTTAAGGGGCCTTATCAGATAAATGACTTCATATCTCCTGTAGGAACAGATAACCAGCCATTACAGAAATCACAGAAGGCTAAATGACTATCGTCCAGTGCGGCTTACATCAGCTGAGCACATCTGAGGTAATTAGAGGGCAGGTTTCTTTCTAATCAGAAGAGCAGAGATATGCTATGATTCTGATCTGAACCTGTGACTGCTATAATAGAGAGAAGATGACAACGACTTGCACTTCTGGTTATTCAACACTACTTTTAATTACAGAAAGAAGCGACAATTGCTACTTATGGGCTGTTATGTCAGATGAAGTCACTTCTGGCAAATAGAAGACACTAAAAGGAAAAAGATGGTGGATAGGGATGGTAGGGATACACCATATTCATTATCAGACATATTGATAACTGAGGAAACATACTCATAGTCGATGACAAGATGTAAATGGACTAACTTAAAGGTCCCCTGAAGTGCCTTGAAACACGCAGCATTATGCTGGTGACGTAATTTCAACTGAAACAGGAAGAGAGGGTGGGACATCGAGCAGCCCCGCCCCCTTTTTAAAATTGCCAATAGCGTTTTGTTTATATCTGCTCAGGCCAGAGCCGTTGAGCTCGGTAAAGCCACATTTGACAGCCACAGTCTAATAGATTACCCCCTAGATTCAATATGAAACTCTTAGTAAAACAAAATAGTGGTCATAATCATGCTGAGTCTGTGTAGTTGTAAAAGTTTTTAATATATGCCGACTCGCACATATGATCCGCTCCGTGCGATTGCGTCTCTGGACCGGAGCCAAAGTCCGGATCAGACTGTATGCTGCCGCGGTTCGCATGAAACAAGTGAAACCAGACCTAATTTGCCCCAATCGAAAGCATATTTACACTGTCTGAATCGCTCCCTATCATCTACATTGTGCACTTCGAGCCATTCACTGTACAGGAAATACTACACTGTGAACAAGTGACCAATCTCAGCAGCTTCAGCGTCTATTTATAGTGCAGGGGGCCGGCACTTCTGATTCTAGAGTGCATTTAATTGGTCAGAAGATTTGATGAGATGAAGTACGATGTGACGTCAACGTTCATGACTTCCGTTTTGGCGGAAGTCATGAACTGCAAGCTTTGAACGCTTATATTTATAAATGCAAATTTTGTCACCGTTTTGGAGCACACTGCCTTATAGATAACTTTAAGACTAACATATTGATACTTTAATTTTGATTTCATGGGGACTTTAAAGGTGCAGTAGGACCTCTTGGAAAATGCCATCTTTAGCCTTTAGCCCACCCTCCCTACAAATCACTGTCCAAAGCCCCGCCCCCTGAACGCATGAATGCGCACAGTCCAGACAACCAGAGACAACATTACTACAATACATCATGAGCCATTCACCTGTGAGAAATCTTTATAGTACAGTTCGGACCGAACATTTTGATTGGACGAACATTTCTTGATCCTACGCCTTCCACAGAATATATAAATACATATAAATACATTTAGACCACTTAAGTTAATGACTGTTATCGGGATGTGAAGAGACTTTCAACCAGCATAACAAAAAATGTTTCTGAAGACAATGTTTATGTTATTAAGGATGCACAATATATTGGTACCATATTCATTTTCGTTATAGATTTAATTTTTATTTATTGGTATCATAGATTATCAGATATTGCTCATACTCATTTCCTCTATTTTTCATTTAGTTTACCTTAGTTTTACATTTAGTATGATGCCATCCAACAATTAAATTTACTCTTGAAAAACACTAAATGTAATCCTCAGCAAATCTCAAAATGAATATCCATTTTTCATACTGTACATTATAATGTTGTGATGCCTAAATTCACTTGCATTAATCCAACTGATTTTATTTTTTGGTGATTTATTTTGAATTTATTTAGACAGTAAAAAAATGAATATATGCCAACTAAATATTACTATATAGGTTTATTTAATTATTATAGCATTTATTTTCAGTTAGTCATTTTAGTGCTTCCACTTAAACCTCAGATAGTTGCCAAGGGAACATTTGTTTGTTTGTTTGTTTACATGTTTGTTTAAAGGGATAGTTCACCCAAAAATGAAAACTCTTATTATCATTAATTTCTTTCTTCTGCAGAACACAAAAGCAGATATTTTGATGAATGTTGGGACCAAACAGTTGCTGGTAGCCATTGACTTCCATAGTATGTTTTTGACTTACTATGGAAGTTATTGGGGACCAACAACTGTTTGCTTCGCAACATTCTTCAAAATATCGTCTTTTACGTTAAACAGAAATGTTTGGAACAAATGGGTTGAATAAATGACAGATTTTATTTTTTTTGGTGAACTATCTATACGTTTTTCATCTAATATCTATATGTTATTTCAGCTTTATTTTAATGAAAAGAAATGTTTAGTTTTAGTTTTATTTAATAATAATACCAATCATTTTTACCCCAGAATTATTGTTGCTTATATTAATTCCATCCATAATGTTTTCTTTTTATAATTAAAAAAAACCCTAAAGATGTCCCAATATTAAGATTTTTACTGATTAACGAGTTATTTTAATTTCAATAAATAGTTTTGGACAGAAGGATGTTTTGAGTTGTGAAAGACAGAGTGTGTTTTCATAAACCGCTTGCACTTGTTGGTCTCCAGTCACATCTGATCACCAGCTGCGTCTCAGACCCATTTAAAATGTGAAGTCACCATGGTAACCTCCGGTACAAGGTCCCGTCAAAAGACCTATGGTCCGATAAGCACATATTCTCAAAATAATATCAGACACATATGGGGTCTTTCTCTGATGGGTGAACACTGTTAGACCGTGACATGTAACATAATTCAATGTAATGTAATGGAGAATGACAGAGAGAGAGACAGTAAAGCTAGAGAGAATGGCCAGCCACACTGGACCAAGTGGGCATCATCTCTGGTGAGAGGTGCCATAAACAAGCCTCTCTAAAATCAATGTGAGGGTCAAAGACCAATGAGCAGAAGCCTTGAAATCTTTCTGAAAAGCTAGTTGCTAATATCAGACACATATGGGGTCTTTCTCTGATGGGTGAACACTGTTAGACCGTGACATGTAACATAATTCAATGTAATGTAATGGAGAATGACAGAGAGAGAGACAGTAAAGCTAGAGAGAATGGCCAGCCACACTGGACCAAGTGGGCATCATCTCTGGTGAGAGGTGCCATAAACAAGCCTCTCTAAAATCAGGGTCAAAGACCAATGAGCAGAAGCCTTGAAATCTTTCTGAAAAGCTAGTTGCTGGCAAAGGCATCACCTCCATCCAGCTGCCATCCACATCACCACCTGTTGCCACGTAATGAAAATAAATAAATAGTTCAATAATTTCTTTACTAATTTAGCTTTCATACTACATGAAACATCATACTACTAGACATTGTAACACAAGCACACATGTTCAGGGCCCTGTGGCACCCTAAATAACCATGAACCCAGTGTGGGATGAGGCCACATCTCTCACCTCTGCACCTAGAGATTTGCACCAGGACGAACAATGCTGTAAAAGGCCAGTGGCCAGCTGTTCCCCTAAAGTTTGGGGAATTCAGTTACTGACACCGTGCTGAACATTTGTACAGTGACAGCGGGGTATTAATGCACCACACACCCAAAGCTAGTTGAACGCAATGCTTTGATAGTATATTACACATGGAGGAGATTGGCAGGAATGTCAAACTTCCTGCAGATCTGCAAAGTGAGATGTTCTTCAGTCTTCAAGTGGAAAATTGAATTGTGCTCCACGGAAGACAGAAAGTCATACGGGTTTGGAATGGCATAAGTGTGAGGAAAAGATGACAAGGAACTATGTTAATGAATCACCAGATCTTTGACAGCACATAAACAGAAAACATCACATAAGCAACACTTTCGGAGACTTTTTGCCTTCCCCAGGCAAAGTAGGCCATGTTTCAAATACCCCTTTCCTCAAGACCAGTCCAAACTAATCAAGACAGGCATGTGGGCCTATGGGATGCTTTGGCCTACTCTTCCACTTCAGCAATATTTTGGCCTGAAGGACTGGGGTGCTTCAGAGAGCAGCCTCCATACTCATGTTTCAAAGACTCCAGGCTGAACTGAAGTTATTGGACCACTATGAAAGTAATGAACGGTAAAGACACCAAACCCAAAACCAAGATAATAAGACACTAAAATCAAATAAAAACTTAAAAGATTGCTTTTGAAAACCACAAATATCAGTATGTCAGAAACCAATCCAATAAAATCCCTTTACAAAGATGATTCATTCTAAGGCTAACTAGATTTGTTGGGCAGCTGCAAAAACAGGTAAGAAAGCAGTCAATCAGGAAAAAAGCTGTCATAGGAGCAGTACCCTTTTAAAAGGTACTGATATGTACACTTTAGGTAATAATACATATCTTTAAGGTACTAATATGCAGGGGTGTCCAATCCTGCTCCTGGAGGGCCAACTTCCAGCAACATTTTACTCTAGACCCAAATAAACACCTGAACCAGCAAATCAAGGTCTTCAGGATCACTAGAAACTTTCAGGCAGGTGTGTTGGAGCTCAACTCTGCAGGAAAGTGGCCATCTAGGAGCTGGATTGCTTTAGGGCTAAATAAGGTACAAAGGTGTACCCTGGGAAAGGGTAATGCCTGGTGACAGATTTTGTACCATTTTTTTCCTGAGAGTGTAACAAAAACTACTTAAGTCCCACTTCTTCCAAGAACAATCCAACGATAACTTTGTTAGCTTTTGCATTCAGACACTGAATTCGGTCTTACCCGTCACTTGTTTTTCATCTGTTTGCTGCTCTTCACTCTGCCTCTCGCTGACAGGCTGATGAGGTTCTGCGTCTTGAACTTTGGCAGGCTCAGAATCGTTGTTTGTTGGAACTGGCTGTGCGTTTTCTTCAGCATCCACATGTGATTGAATCTCCGCCTGCATTCCTTCTGCATCCGTGTGCACAGGATCTGATTCAGAGCCGGCGTTTCTACAGATGGAACATATGTGATCATCTTTGGACTGTGGATGTGCGTGACCTTCACCTGGCTGTTCACACTCTGGGTGGAACCACCTAAAGAAAAAGAGGCAGCTGACGTTTCACCCTTTCACTGCATCCAAAATTAGGTTCCAGACAGACTTTTTGGACTGGATGTAACTGCTACTGAACTAGATTACAGATTTGTGAAGGAAATATACCTTTTGCATTGATGGCAAGAAAGCAGATCTTTGTGGACGTCGGGATCTATGTCGCTGGGACATAAGCAGGGGACACTGGTGTCCTGTTGATCGCCACAGTTTTGGCACAAAAGGCTGTTGTGGTGCCATTGTTCACTTCTCCGGGTGCCACACTGAAAACACATCCGGCAGTTCTACAAACACACAACTACGATTAGCTATACTGCATTAAAGAAATGGGAGATCATTTCGAGATAATAACGTCTCAAAGCCGCCCTTACCTTACACCTCCAGCCGTTGATGGGGATAGAGTCCATAGCCGGCTGCAAGCAGAACGTGTGATAGCCTTTGTCGCACATATCGCACACTAGCATTTTAGTATCTTCTCCAGGCTCCCTGAAAGATACAAGGACACAATCAATCTATCTAATTCTACCATATGGGATAAATTTTCCGCCAAAAGTATTGCAGTCATGGATCAAAAAAATAATAAGAGTGAAACCAAAATGAAAAAAGCAAGTAAAAATATATTGCACAAAATGTAAAAATGAAGCAAAGTTTTCAGAAAAGCAAACAATGGTCACTGATCAAAACATAATAAGCGTAAATCAAAAATGTAACAACACGTTTAAAAAAATTATAAGCACGAATCAACACTTTAAACATTTTTAAAGTCATATTGCACAAAACTGAAATATTAACACAAATGATCTGCCTTGCACATAAAAACATGTTTTCCTTGGTTATATTTTTCAGTTTTTTGTGCACTCAAGACATTTTCTGCTCATATTTTTGTTTTTTGTATGCTTATGCTGTTTTTTTTGTATGCTAATATGTTTAAAGTTTTGATTCATGCTTATTTTTTTTAAATGCGTTTTTCAATTTTTGATTTATTATTTTTCGATCTGTGACCATTGTTTACTATTCTGAAAACTTTGCTTTAATTTTCAAATTTTGTGCAATATATTTTTACTTGCTTACTTCAATTTTGGTTTCATGCTTATTATTCCATGACCACAATACTTTAGGTGGAAAATTGATCCCGTACTACCAGTGCATACATTTTTTTGCCCCCATGAATACATTCCAACACAGTAAAAAATGATTGTAATTTGAATATGTTGTGGTTAAAAACCTGTTCATTGGTTAACAGTAAGTTCCCTAACTATATATGGTGGAAAACTAGCCAATCTAATAGGACATTTCATGTAATTTTAGTTGAATTCTCTTAAATTATTCTGATTTATAGTTATTCTGATTCTCATTCCCAGAATTCCCTGTGTGACACTTTACATTTGATGGTTTTTCATTGAAGAAAAGGTTTCTTAGTGTTTTATTTCTTATCAGCTATGTACATTATGGTTTGTGTTACACCGTATGCATACATTTTTTTGCCCCCATGAATACATTCCAACACAGTAAAAAATGATTGTAATTTGAATATGTTGTGGTTAAAAACCTGTTCATTGGTTAACAGTAAGTTCCCTAACTATATATGGTGGAAAACTAGCCAATCTAATAGGACATTTCATGTAATTTTAGTTGAATTCTCTTAAATTTTTCTGATTTATAGTTATTCTGATTCTCATTCCCAGAATTCCCTGTGTGACACTTTACATTTGATGGTTTTTCATTGAAGAAAAGGTTTCTTAAGTGTTTTATTTCTTATCAGTTATGTACATTACGGTTTGTGTTACACCGTATGTCATTAAATTAATGTTTATTGCATTATTTTAGTGTTATATGTGTTACCATGGTGGTCTTTAGGATTTGTGTGTATGACACTGTGTGTATCTGTTATATATTTGTATTTACCTCAGTTTTTGAAAAAGCTACATGTGATGAGCTTTGATTCATCATGTGGCTCTCAGTACCATTTGTGTTTGTGATGGTTGATGGTGTGTATTATAAAGGTACAAAAGAGATTTTAGTACTTCAACAGGTTGGTTTATTAACATTATATCAGTGAATGAAATATAGGTTTTTACTGTAAATTTGAGTTAATTCCATAAAACCTTAAATGTTGCTACTGTATACAGTAAAGTTCCAGAAACCACAGCTGCAGTTTTTTAACACTGTATGTTACCGCATAGATTTGTATACAACATATAACTGAATGCGTCTAATTAGTGACTATCCATTAAGCCCACATGAGACACGAGCAGGTGTCTGTTTATTCCACTGAGGCCCTGTCCACACAAACGCGGTTATTTTTAAAACCGCAGCTTTTTCTACGCGGTTAGGCCGCTCGTCCACATGCAAACACAGCACCAGTTCACTGAAACCGAACATTTTTGAAAACGCCTGCCAGGGTGAAGATTTTTTTTGGCTTGTGACGTCGGAGCATGCGCTGTTATCTCCGCCTACTGGAAACTTTTTCAGGCTTCTGATTGGCCAACATGGCTTTACGGTTGAGATTATATCGCCACCTGTTGGTTTGGCATGCTCTTGACTGTGCTTCATAGCATGCGTTTGCGTTTTCATGTGGACGGAGATTTTTTGAAGGTGAGACACACTGCAGGTTAATATGGTAAAAAAAAAAACTAATAGTTATCACCTTACTTACACAGTTGATTGATTGCATTGATAATTGCAAAACATTTTTGTATAAGATTTTTTTTGGCTTGTGACGTCGGAGCATGCGCTGTTATCTCCGCCTACTGGAAACTTTTTCAGGCTTCTGATTGGCCAACATGGCTTTACGGTTGAGATTATATCGCCACCTGTTGGTTTGGCATGCTCTTGACTGTGCTTCATAGCATGCCTTTGCGTTTTCATGTGGACGGAGATTTTTTGAAGGTGAGACACACTGCAGGTTAATATGGTAAAAAAACAACAACTAATAGTTATCACCTTACTTACACAGTTGATTGATTGCATTGATAATTGCAAAAAATTTTTGTATAACAAGTTTTCTAAAATGTTATGCTTAAATATGCAAATGATGCATTATTTAATTAAATATGCGCTAATTTGCATACATTTCTAGTACAAAAATCTGAACACTGGATGAAGTCAGTTTCAAAATTCTTGTTGAATTTTTTTGACATAATAAGAGTCAAATTCTGTAAATTCTGAATTTGAAACTGTAAATTCCTTCAAATTTACAGAGGGAATTCTGGGTATCTCTTTTTGTCACTCCATAATTCAGAAAAAACTTTGAACAGCCAGAAAACAATATATTTTCACAATTTTGGGGGGAATAAAATGTTGTATATAATCAAGAAAATTATATATGAACAAATCCCTCTGTAAAAACCTTCAGAATATAGACAGGAATAAAAATGTAAAGTTTGGTGTGAGTAAGCGTTACTGAAGTGGAGATTTGTGGCTCAGTGTTGGAGAAAAAACTCATTTTGAGAAAACGGCCTTTAAAAATATGTATTGTAATTGAAATCTATTGATACAAATAGGAAGACAGAAAGTCATACGGGTTTGGAATGGCATAAGTGTGAGGAAAAGATGACAAGGAACTATGTTAATGAATCACCAGATCTTTGACAGCACATAAACAGAAAACATCACATAAGCAACACTTTCGGAGACTTTTTGCCTTCCCCAGGCAAAGTAGGCCATGTTTCAAATACCCCTTTCCTCAAGACCAGTCCAAACTAATCAAGACAGGCATGTGGGCCTATGGGATGCTTTGGCCTACTCTTCCACTTCAGCAATATTTTGGCCTGAAGGACTGGGGTGCTTCAGAGAGCAGCCTCCATACTCATGTTTCAAAGACTCCAGGCTGAACTGAAGTTATTGGACCACTATGAAAGTAATGAACGGTAAAGACACCAAACCCAAAACCAAGATAATAAGACACTAAAATCAAATAAAAACTTAAAAGATTGCTTTTGAAAACCACAAATATCAGTATGTCAGAAACCAATCCAATAAAATCCCTTTACAAAGATGATTCATTCTAAGGCTAACTAGATTTGTTGGGCAGCTGCAAAAACAGGTAAGAAAGCAGTCAATCAGGAAAAAAGCTGTCATAGGAGCAGTACCCTTTTAAAAGGTACTGATATGTACACTTTAGGTAATAATACATATCTTTAAGGTACTAATATGCAGGGGTGTCCAATCCTGCTCCTGGAGGGCCAACTTCCAGCAACATTTTACTCTAGACCCAAATAAACACCTGAACCAGCAAATCAAGGTCTTCAGGATCACTAGAAACTTTCAGGCAGGTGTGTTGGAGCTCAACTCTGCAGGAAAGTGGCCATCTAGGAGCTGGATTGCTTTAGGGCTAAATAAGGTACAAAGGTGTACCCTGGGAAAGGGTAATGCCTGGTGACAGATTTTGTACCATTTTTTTCCTGAGAGTGTAACAAAAACTACTTAAGTCCCACTTCTTCCAAGAACAATCCAACGATAACTTTGTTAGCTTTTGCATTCAGACACTGAATTCGGTCTTACCCGTCACTTGTTTTTCATCTGTTTGCTGCTCTTCACTCTGCCTCTCGCTGACAGGCTGATGAGGTTCTGCGTCTTGAACTTTGGCAGGCTCAGAATCGTTGTTTGTTGGAACTGGCTGTGCGTTTTCTTCAGCATCCACATGTGATTGAATCTCCGCCTGCATTCCTTCTGCATCCGTGTGCACAGGATCTGATTCAGAGCCGGCGTTTCTACAGATGGAACATATGTGATCATCTTTGGACTGTGGATGTGCGTGACCTTCACCTGGCTGTTCACACTCTGGGTGGAACCACCTAAAGAAAAAGAGGCAGCTGACGTTTCACCCTTTCACTGCATCCAAAATTAGGTTCCAGACAGACTTTTTGGACTGGATGTAACTGCTACTGAACTAGATTACAGATTTGTGAAGGAAATATACCTTTTGCATTGATGGCAAGAAAGCAGATCTTTGTGGACGTCGGGATCTATGTCGCTGGGACATAAGCAGGGGACACTGGTGTCCTGTTGATCGCCACAGTTTTGGCACAAAAGGCTGTTGTGGTGCCATTGTTCACTTCTCCGGGTGCCACACTGAAAACACATCCGGCAGTTCTACAAACACACAACTACGATTAGCTATACTGCATTAAAGAAATGGGAGATCATTTCGAGATAATAACGTCTCAAAGCCGCCCTTACCTTACACCTCCAGCCGTTGATGGGGATAGAGTCCATAGCCGGCTGCAAGCAGAACGTGTGATAGCCTTTGTCGCACATATCGCACACTAGCATTTTAGTATCTTCTCCAGGCTCCCTGAAAGATACAAGGACACAATCAATCTATCTAATTCTACCATATGGGATAAATTTTCCGCCAAAAGTATTGCAGTCATGGATCAAAAAAATAATAAGAGTGAAACCAAAATGAAAAAAGCAAGTAAAAATATATTGCACAAAATGTAAAAATGAAGCAAAGTTTTCAGAAAAGCAAACAATGGTCACTGATCAAAACATAATAAGCGTAAATCAAAAATGTAACAACACGTTTAAAAAAATTATAAGCACGAATCAACACTTTAAACATTTTTAAAGTCATATTGCACAAAACTGAAATATTAACACAAATGATCTGCCTTGCACATAAAAACATGTTTTCCTTGGTTATATTTTTCAGTTTTTTGTGCACTCAAGACATTTTCTGCTCATATTTTTGTTTTTTGTATGCTTATGCTGTTTTTTTTGTATGCTAATATGTTTAAAGTTTTGATTCATGCTTATTTTTTTTAAATGCGTTTTTCAATTTTTGATTTATTATTTTTCGATCTGTGACCATTGTTTACTATTCTGAAAACTTTGCTTTAATTTTCAAATTTTGTGCAATATATTTTTACTTGCTTACTTCAATTTTGGTTTCATGCTTATTATTCCATGACCACAATACTTTAGGTGGAAAATTGATCCCGTACTACCAGTGCATACATTTTTTTGCCCCCATGAATACATTCCAACACAGTAAAAAATGATTGTAATTTGAATATGTTGTGGTTAAAAACCTGTTCATTGGTTAACAGTAAGTTCCCTAACTATATATGGTGGAAAACTAGCCAATCTAATAGGACATTTCATGTAATTTTAGTTGAATTCTCTTAAATTTTTCTGATTTATAGTTATTCTGATTCTCATTCCCAGAATTCCCTGTGTGACACTTTACATTTGATGGTTTTTCATTGAAGAAAAGGTTTCTTAAGTGTTTTATTTCTTATCAGTTATGTACATTACGGTTTGTGTTACACCGTATGTCATTAAATTAATGTTTATTGCATTATTTTAGTGTTATATGTGTTACCATGGTGGTCTTTAGGATTTGTGTGTATGACACTGTGTGTATCTGTTATATATTTGTATTTACCTCAGTTTTTGAAAAAGCTACATGTGATGAGCTTTGATTCATCATGTGGCTCTCAGTACCATTTGTGTTTGTGATGGTTGATGGTGTGTATTATAAAGGTACAAAAGAGATTTTAGTACTTCAACAGGTTGGTTTATTAACATTATATCAGTGAATGAAATATAGGTTTTTACTGTAAATTTGAGTTAATTCCATAAAACCTTAAATGTTGCTACTGTATACAGTAAAGTTCCAGAAACCACAGCTGCAGTTTTTTAACACTGTATGTTACCGCATAGATTTGTATACAACATATAACTGAATGCGTCTAATTAGTGACTATCCATTAAGCCCACATGAGACACGAGCAGGTGTCTGTTTATTCCACTGAGGCCCTGTCCACACAAACGCGGTTATTTTTAAAACCGCAGCTTTTTCTACGCGGTTAGGCCGCTCGTCCACATGCAAACACAGCACCAGTTCACTGAAACCGAACATTTTTGAAAACGCCTGCCAGGGTGAAGATTTTTTTTGGCTTGTGACGTCGGAGCATGCGCCGTTATCTCCGCCTACTGGAAACTTTTTCAGGCTTCTGATTGGCCAACATGGCTTTACGGTTGAGATTATATCGCCACCTGTTGGTTTGGCATGCTCTTGACTGTGCTTCATAGCATGCCTTTGCGTTTTCATGTGGACGGAGATTTTTTGAAGGTGAGACACACTGCAGGTTAATATGGTAAAAAAACAACAACTAATAGTTATCACCTTACTTACACAGTTGATTGATTGCATTGATAATTGCAAAACATTTTTGTATAACAAGTTTTCTAAAATGTTATGCTTAAATATGCAAATGATGCATTATTTAATTAAATATGCGCTAATTTGCATACATTTCTAGTACAAAAATCTGAACACTGGATGAAGTCAGTTTCAAAATTCTTGTTGAATTTTTTTGACATAATAAGAGTCAAATTCTGTAAATTCTGAATTTGAAACTGTAAATTCCTTCAAATTTACAGAGGGAATTCTGGGTATCTCTTTTTGTCACTCCATAATTCAGAAAAAACTTTGAACAGCCAGAAAACAATATATTTTCACAATTTTGGGGGGAATAAAATGTTGTATATAATCAAGAAAATTATATATGAACAAATCCCTCTGTAAAAACCTTCAGAATATAGACAGGAATAAAAATGTAAAGTTTGGTGTGAGTAAGCGTTACTGAAGTGGAGATTTGTGGCTCAGTGTTGGAGAAAAAACTCATTTTGAGAAAACGGCCTTTAAAAATATGTATTGTAATTGAAATCTATTGATACAAATAGATAAAGTGCTATAAAAGAAACACTTAACAGGGTCTTTTGGATGTTTTCTTTCCACTAGTCTGAAAAAACCCTTAGCCCAAAAAGCCCAAAATCTCAAAATTGACAGGCGCATGAAAAAAAAGTGTTTTTGCCTGCAGTGTCTCCCCTTAAAAACGGGAAGAAGGAAAAACTCAGTTTATAAAAATACCCGTGTACGTGTGGACATGGCCTGAAAAGCAAACTCTTGCAACCTCAAAGGATGCATGAGCAAATACGGATGAGCTATTGAGGAATGAGTAACAAAAGGAAGGAGAATAAAAGGCAAAGCTTGGCTGCAACTCACTTGCATGTCTGACAGACTTTGCACTCGGGGCACTGCCAGCCTGCCCTCTTCAGAGGAGTGACGCTGATGTCCAGACACATGCCGTGATAGCGTAGCCCACAGCTGGTGCAAAAAAGCTGGTCCAGGAGATCCCCGGGGCTGTCGCACAATATACAGTTCGCCTCTTCTTCATCTGAGACAGAGAAAGAAAGATGAATGAAAAAATAAATGTGAACTAAATCCAAGCTTCTAAATCCATGCCCACTTTACATGACCTAATCCAATTCCCAATGACTTTTAGAATTACATTTAATAATTATTTAAGTATATTAAATATCCAACATTGATGATAGTATAAAAAAAGGCCAATAACTAATATGTATTTTGAATCTCTACTCTAAAGAAAAACCTCTGACATTTTTAATAAAGGCATATTTTTATGGTGTCAGTTCTCTAGTGAGAGATCCTCTATGAATTTCAAAACAACAAAAACATCTAAGACGGATTTCTTTGGCAATGAAAAGTCAATAAAATAACTAACAAAAAAAAATGTGATGAGTATCAAAAAATGATGTCTTATCAAAGTAAATGTGAGTGGTCATGCACCGTGTTATTCATCAAGAATGAATTAAACTGATCAAAAATCATGATAAAGACATATTTCCCTCTGAACACCAGCACTAGGCCAACGTTCCCTTTTCTACTCGAATCGATCTGTTCTGCGTCTCCGTCCATCGTTCTGTTTAATGAGCTGCTCAGAACTCAGAGCTCGCCGTGACCTTTTCTATTTCACAGCTGATCAGCGGCGACCTTTAGCAGCCAGTGAGATTCCTCCTCCAGCTCTAGCCCTTCACAGAAACACAGCAGCACGGCCGTACGAGTCAGCAGGTATATATGAAGAGCCCTAGAACCCTTTCAGGTGTCATCAGAGTGACATTAAACTAGAGCAAGAAATAAACGAAAAATTAGGCCTGGGCAGAAATACGGTATATACATGGAAATGTATAGAATTTAGAATGTAGAAATAGTCTACATTCATTTGCAAATAATAATGAAATCATTTGGGGTGAATGCATTTCACTTGTAAAATATTTAATTAACTAGATTATCCAAAAATAGTTATGTAATATATAAAACTAAATTAAATTTAAAAAAAAATCATTAAGTATTATAAAATTACCAGTGTTGTTATTAACTAAAACTATTACAATTGTTTTTGTTAAATAAAATAATGCTGAAATAAAATAAAATATAAATATTAGATAAAAATTTAATTTAGAAATGTTGCCTTGGCAACTGACTAATTTTAAACAATAAAATTAGTTAAAGATACTAAAATCAGTACAAATAAAATAAAAATAAATCAAAGTTAAATAATAATAATATAAAAAACATAAAAAGCAAACATAACATAAAAACATTAAATTAAAATGAAAAATACAAATATACAAGCCAATTTAAAAATGATAAAAAATAGTATAATAGTGTATAAATTACACTAAACCAATTAAGCTACTTCATTTTAAAATGATCTGTAATACATTTAATATATGGGATTTTGGAACTGAACAGGACCAGCTTAGATTATCATTGAATTGCTGGTTTACATGCACCAATATTAACATTTTGGTTGTAACTGAAAAGACAATAATTAATTACATGTTATTGCCAATAACCAATAAATGGTGAACAAATCTTTACTGTTTTAGTCTAAATAAATTAAAAATAAAAGCACTACAAACTAAAATGAGTAGTTTTAAATTTTATTTACTTTTCATCATCAAATTTTTTTTTTTGAAATTTGCTAAAGATTACATTTAAGTGTTATTTAGCTTTGCTAAAAGTGATGAATGATTTGCTACTTGCGGTTGACTGTGGTGAAAATGCAGTTTTGATTTTGATGGATTTAAGTGCCGCTTTTGACACGGTTGATCACAACATCCTTTTGTCATGCCTTGAACATTGGGTAGGTATTAAGGATACAGCATTATCGTGGTTTAAGTCACATCTTAAATCCAGGACACTTCCAGTGGCTATCGGCCAGTTTTCCTCATCATCAGTTTCTCTCCCTTGTGGGGTTCCTCAAGGGTCCATTCTGGGGCCATTAATTTTTAATCTGTACATGCTTCCACTTGGTAATATAATTAGGAAATATAAAATCTCTTTTCATTTCTACGCTGATGATTCTCAGTTATATGTTCCATTAAAATTGAAACATTCTCTGCAGCCCCTTATGGACTGTCTGAAGGACATTAAAATCTGGATGGCGAATAATTTCCTCCAGCTAAATAATGAAAAAACTGAGGTGATTATTTTTGGTCCCTCTAAAACCAGAAACTCTATAGTTAGTAACTTAGACAGTCTCACACCATATGTTAAGTCTAGGGCTGGGTATCGATTCAGATGTCCCGATTTGATTCTATTTCGATTCGCAAGCTCTCGATTCGATTCGATTCTTTGATTACATTCAGTGAATATAGTTTTAATACAAATGCAATTGATATTTCTAAAAAATTAACAGTAAACATCAGTTTACAAATGGTGAATTAATAAAAAGAAATTAAGAACCACATGCCTGTATTTTAAACCTATACTTTTTTTTGTATGGGTCCTTTTTTAAACAATAATAGAGCCCTATAAAATGTTCTTAATTTTTCTGGTAATCAGATGAAGGCATAAAACATTAATTTAATTGATCCTAATCAAATGAAAATTAAACCCTTTTATTTTTTGGCAAACAAAGTGCTGCACAAGAGAGGTTTACTGTTAAAATTAAAAAGAAAACAGATGTGATTATTCCTTTAAAAATAAAGATTTATTAATATTTATTAGCAGTAGTAGCATTGATTCTTAAGACTGCTAAATAGTAATATATTCTGTAATATATATAACTTTTATTTTGACGGGTTGCCATGAAGAACTTGCAGCTGCTGTGTATGTGATATGACGTTAGTTTTGCCAAATGAAACGGTAAAATGCTAATGAAGTGACTCTCAGAGCAGCTGGAGATGACATTCGCATTCATATCATCATATAGTGAGACGGCAGAAGCTGAAAACACTGCGAGCGTCATCCGCGCTTTAGTATGTGTGTAGTAAACAAAACAGTGCGCCGCGCCATCCGCCATTCAATCATTGCGGAAATCATGGCGCCTATGCGTGATATCAAATGCTTCCGCAGATTTATAGTATTACTATAGCTTTTCACCCGAGCATTGTGAATCATGCGTATGGCCATGATAAGCACTGAATGAATGACAGGCTTTCTGTTGTAACATCGCTCAAGGTAAATAAGGGTGACATCTAGTGGAGAAGACTAATGATAAGATTCACGTTAATCAGATCTTGTTTTAAATGTGTGCTGAAATAAATCCCGGAAAAGATCGATTCGCGGCTTTTGAGAATCGATATCGAATCGACGTCATTTAAAAAAAACGATTAATCGAAAAATCTATTTTTTTTTTGCCCAGCCCTAAAGTCAAGTCACATGCAAAAAATGTAGGTGTTATTTTTGACTCTTGAGCTTTTTGAGCTTTGTCTTGAAAAGCAAATTAGCTCAGTTGTTAAAAACTGCTATTATCAATTGAGAATCATTTCTAGACTTAAATCAACACTTTCCTTTCAAGACTTGGAAAAAGTTATTCATGCATTTATCACATTACGATTGGACTACTGTAATTCCTTATACCTAGATCTTCCCCAATCTTCACTGGCTCGTTTGCAGATGATCCAGAACGCAGCAGCCAGATTGTTAACTGGTGCAAAAAAATGTGATCATATCACTCCAATTTTAGCGTCGCTCCACTGGCTTCCTGCTTCCAAAATTTTGTTGATTGTTTTTAAAGCACTTAATGGACAAGCCCCATCATACATTTCTGATCTCATCTCAGTTAATTCTGCTCCTAAGTCCCTCAGATCTGCTAATAAAGCTCTTTTATATGTCCCACGGTCACAACTTAAGTTTAAAGGTGCCAGAGCCTTTGCAGTAGCTGCTTCACGGTTATGGAATCAGTTGCCACCTGACATTAAGAGTGCTCCGTCTATTTTGGTTTTTAAGTCTAGACTTAAAACGCATCTTTATTCTATGGCCTTTTCCTGATTTTTAATTTATGGATTAGTATTGTTATCTTGGATTTTAATTTGCATTTTATTTTATACTTTGATTTATGATTGTTTTGTACAGCACTTTGGTCAGTGTAAGCTGAATT